GCCCTCCAGCCAGTTCCTGACCCAGCACAGAGTGCCCCTGTCCAAGCCATGGGCTGCCAGCTTTTCCAGGAGTATATTATGGGAGACAGTGTCAAAGGCTTTGCTGAAGTCCAGATAGACACATCCACAGCCTTCCCCTCATCCACCAGGTGGGTCACCTGATCATAAAAGGAGATCAGGTTGGTCAGAGAGGACCTGCCCCCCCTAAACCCTGATGCTGAGCATTGAGACATCTCTACCTTATCTATTACACTATGTTGAATCTTAAGTTAAAAGCCCACAAAAGTCAGTTTAATATAGCAAAGTAATTTTTAAAATAGTGTCAAAACACCCTTCTGGCAAGGAACAAATATAAAACTAACTTGCATTTTCTAAGTCCATAGAAATATATTAAACACTTATACCTCATGAAAAATTTAGTTGTCATGCCACTTCATTTTACCAATCCTTTATGTCAAAAAGGATGATAAAATATAAGATAAAAAGGCAAGATATAATAAAAGATAAAAGTGAGGTCTTACATTACATTATTTTGGTTTGTGGAATCTGTCGTACTTGACAAAGTCTATGAACATTCATATTAATCAGTTCTACATATATAAAATTTGAGTGTCTTGGTTGTAACTTAACAAGCAATTTCTATTTTGAATGAATTTACAAGGTATTTGCCATATTTCTCTTAAACCAAAAAAAATCCAAATCAAACCAAAAGAACCCAAAACTAAACAACCAACCAACCAACCAACAACAACAAAAAAGCACCTAAATCAAGCAAAAAAGTGGGATAATTCACTCCCATAAAAATTCAGTTCAGGTTAAAGAATAAACCAAACTAAATATTATGACTAAGAAGCTCACTCCACATATCCTTTGTAAGTAAGATGCATACTGTCTTTACTTTTTATACTTTATACAGTTGTGCTACAGAAGACAGTGATGTATTTTAGTAGATTTCACAGATAACAGTTACAGAATAACAGAGTATTCACTGAAGTGAGAATTGGGAACCTTTCCAAATTTCTCTTCCCCTCAGCTCTAACTAGCTTAGGTACAGGTATTGTGGACTCTATGTTCAGTGATTTACTTCACACAGCCTAAAAAACTATTGATGAATCCTAAATTAAACTAGACAGAGAAAATGACACTAGCCAGAGTACTTTGCTACTGTACATTCCAAGACAGAGGTGGACACCATTTAAGTGTCCGGTTCTATTCTCACAAAGTTAATGGAAGAACAGTAACAAATTTCGAGAGACAGAATGCAGCTCTAACACCTCCAGCCAACAGCAGTTAACTGTCACACTAGAAAATATACAACAGTAGTTTATTTAAGTGTGCTGTTATTCCCCTGAATACACAGGTTATGAGAACTAGGGCCTGCTGTGAGAATGACCAATCTAGAATTTAAACTGGAAACAGCACAATATTTATCTTTCCACTACAAACAGAGGAAAACAGGCAGCTCAGAGAGACAAGGCATTGTTTCAGCTTTGATGGAGAGAACGGAAGACAAAAGAGAGAGAATTTTTATTTTCTGTGAAAACATCATCATCAGGACCCTTCCTTTTAAGAGGGGCCACTGTTCTCTAATCATTGGATTTCTGCAGGAACAGACATGAAGGGATCTGACAGTTTCACCTACCTTCCCATTCCCTCCACATGAAGGAACCTGACTGCCACACCTAACCTGACCCTCCTCTGGCACGACTCCTATGCTGTTCCCAAATCACGTCACACACTGGGACTAGAGATGACTGTAAGCAGTGCCTTGCAAAATGCCCCATCCCTTCCCAAGAGCCACAGGGTAGGTAGAGTCTGAGCAAAAGCCCTCCCATCACCAGTGTAGGGATGCCTGTAGTCCCCGCTGTGGCTGATGTTACATTGCAGCATGATTAGAGCTTATACTGCAGTTAAAGGCATTTCTGTTTCCAGCAGTTGAAGAATATCAGGGAATAAAAGTCAGTACATGCACATACTGAGTACGCACTGAAACAGTAGATGGTAAAAATGTGTAAATCTAAGCAGAACCACCATGTTTCCTTACTTTAGTGCTTTAGGACATGAGGTAGCAAAAGCAAGCCTGATAACAGGATCATCAGCCTTCAAGTATAGTGAGAAAAGCAGTTAAGCATCTATCCAGGCCCTTACAATTATTAGTAAGATTGTTCCTCCCAACAGTATCTAGAAAGCTAATTTTTTTTTTAATAGGATCCCCTACTAGATTTCTTGCCTTTACTCATTTTACATTGCTCTTTCAAATCCAAAAACACAGGATCATCCATAAGTAGACCCTCTGAAAAACTTCTTTAAAATATATCTCTAAATGACCTTTTGGCCTTTACCAGGCTTTACAGTTAAGAATACCAATCAGATGACACAACCAACTGAAAAAATTCCATCTCTGAAGTGTTTTGCATTCAGAAAGAAGCACTGCTGATACAGTTGCAAATTATTAAGTTAGAAATCACATGCAGTGGAGTGCCTAAGTGACAAGTTATTTGTGTAAAAATCTATAATACTTAACACTTTAGCAAAAACTTTGCCCAAACTTTACTAGCTCTTTCTTGCAGATTAACTCCATTTATTATCAATATTATCAGGGTGACAAGATCCATATTACAGGTTGATAATACGTTTAATATAAGCACAACTGAAACAAAATTAGCAATTTGAGGAATTGCTTGAGATTGTTCAAGAGAAGGGTTGGTAATAGAAGTAGGTGTCTATATCAAGATATCCTTAGTGGTTTTAAATACACTATTAGACTAGAAATGCATACACTACAGTCTACTAAATAATGAAACTTAGAAAACAGCACAGATCTGCTGCACCTGCCAACTCAAAACACACAATTATTCCTTAAGCTTTCTTTAATACAGAAAAAATAGTCTCACTCTAGGTGTAAGAATTTCATTTAGATATTTAGGTATAAGAAACCTTCATTTAAAAGATACACTTGGAAATCCCATGTAAATATTTAAGTATTAAGCTTTTAAATGCTACAGAGAACTACTGTAATATAGCAGAATTTGTTAAAAATCATAATTAAATGGTCAGAAACACTTGTTATAGATAAAGATCCCATTGAAGTGTACCTTGAGAGGTGCCTATGGACCAGCAAAGAAAAAGGGTTTCATTCAACATGGCAATAGTTTGAGAAATTAGCCACAGATTTGGTTTTCATAGGAAGTTTTTCAAGGTTATCATAGAATCACAGCTTACAGATGAGCTCAAAGTGAAGCTTTGGCAAAAAAAATCTATTTTTTTCGGGCACTTATGGCTGGTTAGCTGGATTAAGGAAATGCCCTCACCTGATCTGAACACAGAGATAAAGCTAATGATCAATTATTAAGTGTTAGCATGGTAAAAAACCTTCAAGACTCAGAAATAATGCAGCAATAGCAACAAAATTATTCAAAAGGACATAAATGAGCTACAGTGAAACATTTAAATAGCTCGACCTTTTAATTTATCAGAAAGGTCTTATACAGAATGAATATTTTCCAGTGGAATAAAATGCCAGGTAATAACAGATATTACAGTGAATAACAGATACTACAATGAGACAAAGAAGGCAAAAGGACCCCAGATGGAAGCAATAGCCAAATTCAAATCAGAAATTTGTTGAAGATGAACAACAAAATAAACCCTACAAGGATACCACATCTTAGGACCAATTAACAGTAGAAGTGATTGATCCCTCATTTCTTAACATATTCTTTTGAGATTTGGATACCATCAAACTTCACTGAAACAACTTACTGGAATCATTAAATGAATAGCAAGCAATTCTCCACCCTCTACAAGAGGTCTGGATAGATGGTCTAAGTAGACATTTTGGTATTAAAGTGTATGAAACTAACTGAACATTGCTACATAATGAGCAGATATAAAGACACTGATATTTAAAGATGTTACCTCTGTTTACAAGACATAAATTGTGAGTTAGCCTCGTGTACTAAGTAGTTCAGTTGACAATTCTTATGGAATTTAAAATCTTTTTACTTTTTTCTTGTTTGTCCTTTTTCCCATTAACTTCAACAACTAAGTTGGTAGATAAGGATATACAGTTTAAATACACAGCCAAGAATTGCAGCCAGAAGCTACTGGAACATTGAGTAATAGAACTAAGAATGGATAAACAGTTTTTCTCCAACATCAACTCTTTCTCTTGACAGTCAGGAAAGAAATTATTAAGGAAAAATAATTACTGCAACTAGAGGCCAGTAACATAAAGAGTTTTGTCTGGACAAACAGTAAGACAGAAGACATGACAATGGGATGGATGCTGAAAACTGAAGGCTGAAAGCTAGTATTGGATTGAGTAGTTAAACATATAGGGCAATAAGAAATCTGGCACTCACAGTCGATGGAGGCCATTGATTAAGCACAATTCAATGTTTTGCTGGTCTGAAGAGACAGAAGGGAATACTGACATTAACTCTGAGTGTTCATTTTAGTACTATAAACTATCATGATATCAAGTGCTTGGTTTTGAAGGACAAGAAGATTGAAGAAAGACATCAGATGTTTCTAAGTAGTAGTGATGATCATTGAAGGCTTTTTCTCTTATTATTATGCTTTTCATATGACATTATAGCAAAAGGTTCAAGAAAAACCACTCACAAAGTTACTGGCATGTCCAAAACACATTACCAGAGTTATGGAGGTTTAAAAAAAAGTACTTACTTGGTATGTGTCCCATAACCTGATGGTACACCGCAAAGGGACTTCTCTCATCAGCAAGTTATTCATCCAACGGAAAGCAAATTGCAAGTATTTCACTTCATGCTGATCCAAGTGCCTATGAACTTGTTCTGAAGACAGAATAAACAGGTATTTTACTGCAACTTTTCTGAAGTCTTAGATATTAAATGCAGTGTCTAAATAAAATACTCCTCCAACTTCAAGGAAATAAAATGTGGTGGTGCATGCAAGTTCTTACAACTGAATGAAAATACCCAAAATATAAACTAATTAAACATTACACTGGACTGATTTTTCTGCCTCTTGATGGCTTAAACAACTGGTCTGAGTTGTGCTATCTTAAGAAAACATTAAGATCAGAGCTTACAGTACAACCCAAAAATATACTATGTGAAATGATTAGGTACATATATCCTCATTAACTTCTTGGGCTACAAACTATTTGGGGCAAGACTACAATAGACAAGGTAGCCTTCTAAAATAAAGGCTTCCAAAAATAAAGTGTTAGTAATAAAAAGAAGACAATACTAAATTAAGAAGTCAAAGAAATATAAGGAAAGAACATACAAAGGTTGCATTCACTTGAGAAAAAAAAAAATTGAGATTAATGTGTAGGAAATACAGTGAGAAAACTTAACCAATTTGCAGCTTAAATGATTTCTTAGTAGAACAAATAAATGCAAATAAAGCTAGTACAAATCAATGGTTTCTAAAACAGTACCTATACACGCTGTGTTTATTGTAGAACATTTACTATTTGAAAGCTGTGATAATCCCTTGCATGGGTTATTGCTAAGGCTAACAGAACTCATCTACTTCATGGCTTATCTATTTTACCAGAATTTTCTCCAAAAAGGATCACAGACATTCTTTTAACAGGTTTTAGTTAACAAGCTCAAGTCTGATACTAGCCTGGTGTAAATGACAAATACTGCAGAAATGCTTGTCTTGTTTTGGACAAATTTATGACAAGAAGTCTTTGTTAAAGCCCAAATACGACATTCCTACTGTCTATATACAAATACATTCTTGGGAGATTTTTTTCCTACCCAGATCATCCTTCATCCTCATTCACAAAGGTGTATTATCAGCTCAGCAAATATTCATCTTTCACATTTCTCAGAAAGATCTAAGACAGCACTAAAATACTAAATGAATTTTTAAAAAAACCCTGAGAGTAGGGTAGCACTATTACAGGAAACACTAGCTAAAGATTAAGGTAACAGAAGTTAAATGATGCTAAGTTATAACATAGACTGAAGCTGTTCAAATTTTTTTTTCCCCCCCAAGATGTTTTTTGTGGCTATATGAAAGTGTCAGCCAATACAATATAGTTGTTTCAATGTGGAAACAAGAAGTAAAAATCTTCTAGATTTTAAAAACAATCAACAATTAGGTTTTTTTAAAAATAAGACATCACAACACATTACTCCAAAGGTCCACTTATCACAACATCCCATCTCCATTCATAATTGAAAACAAATATCTATGAAAATGTATAAAGCACTGGTATTTCTCCATGGCATGTGTCAGCCTCCATCCATCTGTGTCTCCAGCAGATCTGGCATCTATGTTGCTGGAGGCATACCCTTCCATAATATAAATATAGACAAATACATAAAACTTTATGCACACCTTAGAAACATCTCTTACTTCTCCTGGGAACTTTTTTATTCACAGCTATATATAAAAATATATGAATCTTTAAATAATTAATTTCATTTCTATGTATAACATTAACCAGTTAATTACATATTTCTGCTATATAAGAGACTGAACTTATATGGGATCTATGGGATGTGAAATGGTAGAGAATGATGGTGGAGGTGTAATGATCTTGTGCTCTTCTAAGTCCCTCTCCTTCTCTGTCATTATGTGTACAGGAAAAGTACTACAGCTTTATCACTGTATACTGTGCCTGCATATTGTCAATATTTCTAAAATTCTATGAGAACTTTGTGATGGATTTTCCACTACCCATAATAGCCTCAGCCTTCCAGCCTCAAGCTCTTGTGACTAATCATCTTCCTTTCTCTACAAACCTAATATCTTCCCATCACCTTTACACCCTTCTTTCCCAGGATTTCTGCAGAAGTCATCAGCTGGCAGAGAGACAAAAGCGAATATCAAGGATCGTTCTCCGCTCTTACTGCGCAAGTGCAATGAGCATCAAGTCAGTACTCCAAATATGACAGTGAACTGTGGGACTTGCTCTGTAGCCCTTCCTCAGCAGCAACTTGGATCACATTTTTTTGGTTGCTTTTTGTTTGTCTAGTTGGTTTGTTTTTTAAATAACCATCAAATGAGCTTTATAAAGGTCTTGAAAATCTGCACAGTGGAGATGTTTCTTTTTTTGGAAAATGATCATGAAGGAAGTACTTAAGCTTGAAAAGTTATTGGAAGGAGAAGACAAATGTGATAACCATATATGTTCTGCAAATCTTAGGGAAACAGGTTTAAAAATTAAGCAAGGCAGTTTATGTCTAGAAGTCCACATTTTGAAGACAGTAGAAGCTTCAGAAGCTTCTGTATTTTCATTTTCCACACAAAGGCTTGCATGCCTCTAACTTCTAAACAGTTAGAACAGTTCATTCAGAAGGGACCTACAATGATCATCCAGTCCAAGTGCCTGACCGCTTCAGGGCTACCCAAAAGTTAAAACATTTTGTTAAGGGCATTGTTAAGGCCTCTTAAACTCTGGCAGGCTTGAGACATTAATCACATTTCTATGAAGCCTACCATTTGACCACCCTCTCATTAAAGAAATGCTTCCTAATGTTGAGTCTGAACCTCCCCTGGTGCAGCTTTGAATGATTCCCACGCCTTCTCTCACTGGATCCCAGGGAGAAGAGCTCAGCACCTCCCTCTCCACCTCTCCTGCTCAGGAAGCTATAGAGAAAAGTAAGGTTGCCTTTCACCCTCTTCTTCTCCAAACTAGACAAGACCACAGTCCTCAGCTGCTCCTCACAGGACATGCCTTCCAGCCCTTTCACCAGACTTCTTGCCCTCCTCACAGGACACATTCAAGAATTTTCCCATCTTTCTTAAGTTGTGGGGCCCAGAACTGCATACAGTGCTCAAGGTGATCCTGCACCAACACTGAATACCATGGGATAATTAATCCTTTTGACCACCTGGTGATGCTGTGTTTGATGCACCCCAGGATGAGGTTTGCCCTCCTGGCTGCCAGGGTACACTGCTGGTTCCTACTGAGCTGCTGCCAACCAGAACCCAGATTGCTTTTCGCAGGGCGGCTCTCCAGCCACTCCTCTCCCAAGCTATACTTATGACCAGCGTGACTTTATCACAGAAGGAGCAGAACTTGTCATATGTTCTTGGTAAATTTTCAAATTTTGAATAAATCATTGATGACTGCCCAGTGCTTCCCATATAAGACGATTCCTCTGCAAGGCATCTTGTCCCTCAAGAGACACAAAAGCACCTTCCAGTATAGTATCATTAGCAAACTTCTTAATGGTGCATTCAACTCCTGCATCTGGATCACTGATAAAAATACTTAATAAACGTGGCCTTAGAATTGAACCTTGAAGGACACCACTGGTGAATGATCGCCAGACAGATGTAGCCTAATTCACCACAACCTTCTGAGCACTGTCCTCTGCCAGTTCTCAGCCCAGTGCACCATTATTCAGTTATTCAGGACAAATACTAAATTACTACCATGTGTCTGCCCTTGCTCCAGGCAAATTTAGCTGCAAGTTAAATACACTGAAGTGAGATACTGTGTTAAATTTATTTTTTTAATGTCACATTTAGATACCTATATTGCAGATTACTATAATTAGATAATCCACTACATCAAGCAGGATGCAAAAAAAGTCAGTTTTATTTCTAAGTGAAGTTACTAACTCAGAAACACTTTTGTTTTTCACACAGCAGAAATAAATTTCATTTGGTTGCTTACAGCCATTGAAAGTAAGTAATGAAGAACAATAAATTGTGCCAGTTGTGATATTTCAGCTACAGTTGTTAATGGGAATAATGAATTTCTTGAAAGTTGCTTTCTAGTCTAAGCAAGTTGAAAAATGGATTACTAAATTCTGTGCATTACAGCCAACTGATGCAAGACTGGAATAGAAGATGCATTGAGTAAAGAAACTAATTCTTCCTACTTTGTAAGTAATTGTGAGTAGAGGCTAATTTGCTGATAAAGGTAATTTGGACCGACACAATCTAAATCTAAATTTTCCATTTCAATGAAAATAAGTATGTATGAGCAATGAACAAGAAAATATATAATTACTGTCAGCTTTAAGACTTCAAATATTTTATATAAACTACTTCTACTTAAGTTTCTGATACAAAAATTATTTTACAATTAAAACTAATTCTTTAATCATAATTCAAAATAAATGAGAATTATATTTAATAAGTTTCCCAATACTTTCAAAAAATCTATACATAAAGTTTGGGTGAAGGAAGTCTTCTGATTAAAGGATATAATACATTATACAGGTGCATTCCAAAGTAGCATACTGGCAAAAACAGGTAACTTGTAGATAAAATCCATTTACAATTAATCATATTTTTATTAAATACACTTATTGGACACATTGTTTTGAATGATCACGTTTAGCCACCTTAAACAGATGCTCCTCAAGCCAGAAGAGCCTATACACATAAAATATTTATTCTTCATGTTCAATGTCAGCTTCTCAAGCTGTTTTACTGATTCCAAAATTAAAATTGTATGTGTCTACAGAATCACAAACTAAATGGTTAAGGACAGAAATAACCTGTACTAAAGCGTGACTCGACTGCTGTCCTGACTGGGGGATGCTGTTAGAATGAGTCCCTAGGCAAGCTTACACTTAGGCAGAGAGGAAGTGCAAAATAATATAAAATTATGCACAAACTGCAAACTGCAGTGGCACAGCATGGTGCCACCACATCCATTTGTATAATTTGTCACTTCAGAACATTAACCTTTTGGTGCTCACCTTTACTCAAAGATTCCTATCAACCCTAGCAGGTTTTCTGATGTTTGACTTTGATCTAGTTTTGGAATTTTCAATTTACTAAAGGTTCAGTTTTCACTCATATTTCATACCCTGAGCAGTTCATTTTTAACTCTATTTTATCCATACTG